CTTAATCACTTAATCCCCGTTATTCATCGATTTATTCGAGCGGGTGCCAGTAACGTCTCCATTCATCCCAGTTGCGTGCTAGCGTAGCCCAATGGTATCTGTTCGTTTTAGGAACATGTAGAGCCTCAAACCGATCATTTAGGGTCTTGACGAAGAAGTCTGACCATCTTATAGGTGGGCGTCCACGTGATCTTTTGATGTCTCGTGGAATCCAATCAGTAATGGCTCTAGTCCAGCGGTTGTCTGTAAACCTCATTACGTGTCCAGCCCATCTGATTTTTGATGTCTTGGCAAATAAGACAGCGTCCCTGATTCTTGAGCGTTGACGAAGATCAGAACTCCGGATTCTATCTCTCATTTGAGTGAATCGTGATATTCCAAGCATAGTTCTTTCGATTCCTCTTTGAGAGACCCGAATAGTGTTCTCATCCTGTTTTCGTAGGGTCCAGGTCTCTGAGGCATATGTTAATGCAGGAAGAATAGTGGAATCAAAGAGATGTGCTCGTAGCTGGAGGTTCTTTGTCCTTTTAGTTATTTCTTCAATGCTCTTGAAGGCATTCCAAGCCGCTCTCTTCCTCCTGCGCAACTCAGGTGCCAGGTCATTCATCATGTTGATTTCTCGACCTAGGTATATATAACTGTTGCATTCGGAGATGGTGGTTCCGTTGAGAGCAAATGGAGCGTCAGGAACAAGGCTGTTTCTCATAAACATTGTCTTCGTAAGATTCAGCTGTAGTCCGACCTTTCCACATTCATGGTCAAAGTCGTTCAGCATTTGTGCCGCTTGATGTTTGGTGTTATTAGAACGATGTCATCAGCAAAGCGGAGGTGGTGTAGTTGCCGACCATCTATCTTCACTCCCATGTTTTCCCATTCCAGTCGTCGCATGATGTTCTCGAGGGTGGCACTGAAGAGTTTTGGTGAAATGGTATCACCCTGCCGAACCCCTCTCTTGATATGGATGATTACTTCTTTGTAGAATGGTGAGATCTTGGTAGTGAATCCGCAATAGAGCTCACGAAGGATCCTGATGTATTGAGTTTGTACGCCCTGATTGGCTAGGGCTTCCATGACCGCTTCCGTCTCAACAGAATCAAAGGCCTTCTTTAAATCAATGAACGTTAGACAGAGCGGCATCTTGAACTCCCGAGATACCTCAATGAGCTTGGTTATTGTGTGGATATGGTCGATGGTACTGAATCCTTTTCGGAATCCAGCTTGTTCACATGGTTGTCCTTCATCTAGTGTTCTGCTAATCCTATTCAGGATGACTCGAGTGAATAGTTTGTAGATGACAGACAATAGGCAGATTGGGCGATAGTTGCCAATGTCGTGGATGTCTCCTTTCTTGTATAGTAGTACAGTCTTGCTGGTTTTCCATTGGGATGGGACCTTGCATTCAGACAGGTAGCATGTGAAGAGTCGAGCCAATGTATTGATGAGTACTGATGGTAAGTTCTTCAGGTGTTCAGGTCTGATCTTGTCTGGGCCAGGTGCTTTTCGTTTCTTTACCGACGAGATGGCATGTTGGATTTCGGAAGGGAGAACATTGGGAACGACATATCCATCATGTGGTATGTGGTATGTGGGCAAGTGGATGTGGCTATTAAAGAGATCTGAGTAGAAGTCATGAATAATCTTCTCCATTGCCCTTCTGGAAGATGTGATAGATCCATCATGATGTCGGAGGGCAGTCATCTTGGTTTTGTAGTTGGTGAAGGACAGGCGGGCATTACGAATGTTTTTCCCAGCTTCTGCTGCATCTACCAGTACTGCTGCTCTCCTGTTTTTGAGGTCATCCTTGATGGCTTCTCTGCACTGTTTTGCCAGTTCGGACGTTTGCTTGTGGTTGCCTGAGGCACGTGCCAAGCCACGTTGGCGAATAAGTTCAAGAGTGTTCGAAGAAAGACGGTTTTTTGTGGTTATCTCTCTCTTGGCATTCCTTGCACAATCATGGAGGTGCTGAATCATTCGATCGTATTCCTCATCAATGTTGTCAATGATGGCATCTTCCCATGTTGCCGCAACAGAGCCAAAGAGTTCCCAGTTGGTGGTTGTTCTGGGAGTCCTCTTCTTAAACCTTGCATTCTTTTCTCCTCGTTCTGTGAGGTAGAATTTTGCGCGAAGAAGACGGTGGTCTGATCCTGTTTGGAATTTTGGGACAACAGCAACATCGGTTAGGCAAAACCGCCGATTGAATATGATGTGGTCTATTTCATTGTGGAACCATCCATCGGGAGACTCCCATGTCCAACGTTTAGATTCAGCCTTTTGGAATTGTGAGTTACCATGGAAGGTTTTGGTTGACATGATGAACTCAGACAGTCTGTCACCCTGTTCGTTCCATTCCAGGCCATGGGTTCCGATGTGGAGTTCATCGACTGATCTTCTTGGTCCTATCTTGGCATTAAAATCACCGACAATGATCTTGTAGAAGGTGTGATCTTCTTTATAGAATTTCTCCAGCTCCATGTAGAATTTCTCAGTTTCTTTTTCACCATAACTGGATGTTGGTGCATAGACAACAAAGATAGAAACTGCCGGTAGTGAGCCACATTTATTCAAGTGTAATCGTCCGATTCGGGTTGTTAGGCATTCAAATGAATCAATGCTCGTGACTAAGTTTGTGTTGACAAGGATACCGACACCACCGACGCCTCTTTTATCACATGTTCCAAGGAACAGTTCTTCTCCAGTGTCGAAAACAGCATGATGGGATTGATGTCTTCTCGTTTCGGTCAGACCAATGATGTCGTACTTGATCTTTCGTACTTGTACCATAAGGATGCAATGGATGCAGCAGATGCCAGCGTACGAGCATTAAAAGTACAGACAATCATTTTTGTTTTTCTGCGTTTTGGCATCCTATGTCTGCCTTGGTGTTTTATCAGCTTCTCCTTCCATATCCTTCTCGACTCTGCATATTCAGGGTTAGGGAAATGAGATCCATTTATTACTGGATTTGGCATATCAATTTGGTCTATTTGGTATAGATCACGGATAGCTTGCCAGGCTCTGCCGTGCGGGTTGGATATTTAAGGATATTTAAGGTACCCTGAAAATTTAGAGAAAATTAAATAAATAGTCGCGCTTTTATGAAACACTTAGGAAACTAATGCTCAGGTTAGAAGGGTGGGCCTATTTCCCAGTGAATACCAGGAAAAATAAAACAAGTGGACTCGGGCCAAAAATAAATGCCTTTTTCCTCAAATAGTTCTTTCCTCTCTTCTCACACATCAAATTACCACAGTAATGCTCAGACAACCATACCAGCCTCATACTTGATCTCCTCTCCTAATTCTAGTGCTTTCTTCAAGGTTTCACCCATTTACCACCTAAGCAAATCTTTAAGAACTTTGTAACAAGCTGAAATGTGTCTCTCCCAACCCTCTCCATCCTCCCCCCCCCCAAAATATACATTTAAAAAGTAATTCAGTTAAGATAAAGGCACTAGAATGGGTTCTCAGTATGATTAGTGTCCATATAAGAAAAGATCAAGAGGAGACGTGCAGAGAAACACCAGGTTTCATGGGCTGCTTATAAATAATCCTATGTTATATCTATTTCAAATAATTAGAACTTTTACTACACATGAAAATTTTCTATTCTTTCTTGTATGTCCATTTTTTCCAACTATGATGGCAAAACTACAGAACTGTATTATTTATTTCCTGTTGGTCCATTATCCAACCGAGGACAACATCCAAATCCATCTACTACTACCTCCTATGTAAGTGACTGCTTCAGAGATTTTCAGGAAATACATCACAGGAAGGCAAGGCACTATTTAATTTTAACAAAGATTTCCTTTCTGAGAAAAAAAAAGTTTAACCCCTCTAAAACTACTCGATGGTTTTACACCAACTTTTTAATACTAGACAATTTACCTGACAATACTTATACAATGCTTTCCTGTTCAAGAGGCTGACTTTAATATAACACACCTTTCTTTTCATAAATATGGGACTGATAATGTAACCGTGTAGCTATATCAAATGAAATTCTATGTTAGTTTCAATGAATAGTTAGTTTCTTAAGAATATATATTGTTTAGAAAATACTATGATATATCAGAGGTTCCCCAAATTATTTATATTTACTGCCCGCCCTCCTTATGGGCTGGAGCAATAGCACAGTGGTAGCGCAATTAATTGTCTTGCACGAGCCTGGCCGACCCAAGTTCAATTCGTCCGCCCCTGCCCTCTCGGAGAGCCCAGCAAGCTACTGAGAGTAGCTCACCTGCACGGCAGGGCCTGGCAAGCTACTCGTGATGTATTTGATATGCCAAACACAGTAACAACAAGTCTCACAATGGAGACCTTACTGGGCCCACTCAAGCAAATCAATGAACAATGGGAAGACAGTGCTACAGTGCTACAATGCCCCCTTTATAGAAATAATTACTCAATACACACCCCAAAATCCATCATCTTTAAGCAAAAAAAAAATAGTAAGCACTCCACAATTGCACCAAAGGATACTGAGATTCCTTGGGTTGTTCAGTGTTCCTCAGAAGTATTTGGTACACTTAAGAGAGTAACTAAGAGGGTACTCTGGAAAATACTGATCTATATCCAACATCAACCACTCCTGAGAAATAATAAATTGCCACTTTATTTTTAAGTACAATATATTTTTATCTTGATTTTTGGATGTGTAGTTTGCTCTAGCATATATACAAGCATTTCCACACCAATCAATGGTACTGAAGGTTTTTTTGTTTTGTTTTTTTAATTTCACAGAAGTAGTGTGCCTATTTAGAAATATACACAATGAAACATATATGCTATTCAACCCAGGTCTAACATCTCAGACTCGACTGAAGAAAATAATCTCTCTTTGACTCAGAAGTCATCTTTCAGGCAATTTTTGTCACTTTCCAACTACAAAACGCAAAAACCTTCTTTTAATTTTCTGTTCCGATTTTATTTGAAACATAATTAAGTTAATTAAATTTAATTAAATCATCAAAATATTAAAATTAAATTAAATTAAAATCACTGAGTAATGAACAATTCTCGAATCTGCATGCCATCCTTGCAAAGGGGCCATGTTTAATCTTCTCTATATCATTCCAATTATAGTTCTTGTGCTGCCAAAATCTTAACACCAACCTAAGAAATGGATCCATTTCATTGTAAAGGACATCGCCACCTCCAACCCCAACCATTCGGGTGTTAAAAGACCAGTGCAAAATTATACTCTAAGTATTACAGGAACCTTTTAGCGTTCTCCAACTCCAACCTGAGATCCAATAAACTCTGGGAACCTCTCTTCCAGCATAAAATATGTGCGTATACATAGATGTAGTATGTATATTATATACACATTCCATCACTCACTGTCCTCCCCTTGTTCACTGATTAGCTCGAGAGGGCACAGTAACTTTGTGAGACCTGTTACTGTGTTTGGCATATCGAAAAGGTCACAGGGAGCTTGCCCAGCTCTGTCGTGCGGGCGAGATAGTCTCCGTAGCTTGCCAGGCTCTCGGAGAGGAGCGGAGGAATCGAACTTGGGTCAACCGGGTCCAAGCCACATGCAAGGCAAATACCTTAATATATATTATAAATAGCATATGACATATATACCGCATGCATTACAGGGCTGGAGCGATAGCACAGTGGTAGGGCATTTGCCTTGCACGCAGCCAACCCAGCCCAGCAGGGTTCGATTCCTCCGCCCCTCTCAGAGAGCCTGGCAAACTACAGAGAGTATCTGGCCCACACGGCAAAGCCTGGCAAGCTACATATGTGATGTGACATATTCGATATGCCAAAACACAGTAACAATTCACAATGGAGATGTTACTGGGCCCACTCGAGCAAATCAATGAACAATGGGAGGGCAGTGCAGGGCAGTGCACCATACAGTATACATAGCATTTCAAAGGTGTCTCAAATACAAAAAATGTATTTAATGGCAAATAGGGATATTCTGCAAGACTGGAATTTGGAGCACAATGAAAATTATAGGTATCAACTATCTCTTCTCAAGCTCTGACTACAAGAGATGGAAGAGAGTGGTAAAGGGAGAATGAAAATCCAAGGGATGTCAAGAATTACCCAATGGGAAACAAAGAGAAAATGAACACATGTAAAAGGTAGGAAATGAGAAGGAAAGGAATGGAAATGAGTTTAAGGGGCCTCTAAAACTAAGTTTGTTAAGTGACATCTATAGAAAGGAATCCCTAAACCTGATTCTCTTCACCAAAATGAATAACATTGTAATCCTCAATTCTGCTCAGGTAACAGGCAATGATAACTAGTACAGTCATTGAACTGATTCACTCAGGAACACCTTGCAATATGGTTATCAATAGTAAAAATAGATAAATGTTTCATTTCTGCCCATCAGAAATCCACCTGTATACTACTTTTTTTTTTAAACTTTAAATGGAGAAAGACACCAAAAGTTTAGGAAAACTTTAGGAGAGTGAAATTTAAGTAAAAGAACATTCAGACAGTTCTCATGACCAGGAAAAAGTGAAAATTCTGGGATCTTCATTAATAGGCCCTGTCGCACTGTAGTACTGTCATCCCCTTGTTCATTAATTTGCTCAGTGAGCACCAGTAACGTCTCCATTTGTTGTTACTGTTTTTGGCATAGTGAATACGCCACTGGGAGCATGCCAGGCTCTGCCGTGCCAGTAGGATATTCTCGGTGTCTTGCTGGACTTTCCAAGAGGGACAAGGAATCAAACCCGGGTTGGCCGCATGCAAGGCAAAATTAAAAGGCCCTAGAATACAATATTAAACAATGCAACTGTCACAAGAGTAGTAGTCAAGCAATTCTCAAAGCCTGGTCCTCATCTACAACTTCTGTGGTTGGTGACATAGGCAGTTGGCAATTTTTTTTATAGAGTAAGGTACCAAATACTGAAGAGTCTGAAGGGTATAAATTTTTGTCCCCCCTACAATTCATCTTTGCCACAAGAGCTGTCAAAGAAGCCACGGAAAATGAAAGTGAGATACAGCAGCTCAAGCTATAGCTGTAACCTAATCACATTTAATTCAAAGAGTCTGAAATTTGGATCTCAATTTTCACAAGTCAGAAAGTTTTTTCAATATTTAAAAATGTATAAACAATATTTAATTCTAAACATTATGGGTGATTGCATGCAGTTGGTTTACCCCTCCCCCCCCCCCCCACACACACACAAGGCCCTTACACTTACATCCTTTGCTTTAAAGGTCCCTAACATGAACTGTTGAGGAAGTCCGATGTAGGCCCACCCATGTGTGAAAAAAAAAAAACAAATCAACAGGGGAAATCTACCAGACAAGAAAATCCTCCCATCACTCCAGAGCCCACACCCCTGCCTCAGCAAGGGCACAGGTGGATGGACAGTCTTCCACTGCAACAAAAGTCAAAGGCAAGAAACTTGAAGTTCTGTTGGCTGGGGCTTAAACCATTTACCTGAATTCTACCATATCTAAAGCATTGCCACACAAATGATGATTCGACCTTTCTGGGAAGTTTAGTCATTTATTCCCAAACTGAACATGGAAGGAAAAAAACAAAAACAAAATTCCAAGTCCCAAACCATCACCCGCTGCCATCCTCCCACACCTGCTTCATTTTTCAAGAACGGTTGTCTCTGTAATAACCTAATGGTTCGACTACAGCAGTCCACCAAAGCTGGAGGACAGCCTGGCCACATTTTCTGTCTTGCACCTCCTGAAAGAACATGGAGAGGTTTCTTCCTTAAGTCTGGTCCTCCTATCTGATGATGGGGCTGAAACTCTAGCTGGCACCCACACCCTCCCAGCTAAGGCACGTAGTATATAGTGCCATATAGTGCCAGCTCGGCTCCCTCTCGAGCAGAGCTGCTCCAGCACCCCAGTCGGTCCTGATGATGGAAGGAGATTTGCAGTCTCCGACCTCAGGAGGCTACTCCGGCCCCCATAACCGGCCACTGCACCAGCGCGACCCCCACTCGCCCACGCTAGCCCCTCCTCCCCGCAATCCTGCAGGGATTACTGTACAATCGGGAGGTGGGTGGAGAGAGAGAGAGAGAGAGAGAGAGAGAGAGAATGGACTGAATGCTTTTTGAAGAGAACAGGAGCAGAAATTCATACTCTCACCCATTACCCGCCCCACCCCACAACACGCACACATACACACAGACCCCCCAAGACACAAAGCGAAACACACACACACACACACACACTCCGCAAAACACAAAGCATCTCGAGAACTGAGCTTCCCGGGGCACATCCGGTACTCCGGGGCTGCAAAACAGCAGACAAAGGCTCCCGAAGGGGAGTGGAAAGGCAATGACGGGGGACGCCAAAGCAAAACGCTCCCACCCCACGAGAGCGCCGGATACAAGGGCCAGGCACCACTGGGATGGAGGTCGCCGGGCGGGAAGGCAGGTACCAAATAGTGGCGCGTTTGGGGGACTCCCAGCCGCCGTCTAGGCGAGATGCCTATCTGGGGGCATTCTGGGCATTCTCTCCACCCCCACACCGCACAGCTCAGCGCCGCGTAATCAGGGGCGGGGGGGCCCGCAGGGATGACGGCGATGGGAGGGTGTCCAGCCGGGAGCGCGGCCCCCTACAGCTCCGAGCAACAGGCTCTCTTTGGCAGCGGAGCGTCCAGTCCCCAGCTCGGGCACCTTCACTCCGCCCCTCCAAAAGGGAAACAACAACTTGAAACCGTTGGGAGAACAGCAGCCAAGCAGGGGGGGGTGCACCCGAGGCTGCGACGACGGGGACTCGAGCTCAGAGACTTTGTCACTTGCAAAGGAAACTTCTAGGCCCCGTGCTGGGAGAGAGTCCGACGAGCAGCTCCCGCCCCGCACCGCCCCGCCGGCCGCGCGGGCTGGGACCAGGGCGCGGTGCAAGCCGAGCCGGCCGCCCGCCCCGCACGGTCCCGGCCGGCGCGCGCGCGCAGGGGGCGCGGGGGCGCGCGCCAGCCTCCCGGCCCCGGCCCCGGCTCCGCTTACCCGGCTGGCGGCGGCCGCCTGGGGAGCCGGGGGTCGCCGGGGACTCGGGAAGGCTCGTCTCGCCCACGCTCGCTTCCGTCGCTTCGGCGGGAACGGCCGGACGCGGAGCCGGGGAGGGGGAAACGCGCGCCCCGGCCGGGAAACTTAATCCCGCCCGCAGCCGGCAGCCCGACGCCTGGCTCGCGCCCGCTCGCCCCCTCCCCCGCGCGCCGCACTTGCGCCGAGCCGGGCCGCCCGGGCTGCCGGGCTGCGTGACGCCTGCGGCCAGCGGGCGCGCCTCGGCCAATCAGGGGGCGCGGCCCAGCCTGCGGGGGGCCCGGGTTGGAAACCGGTGGCCGCGGGCGCTCGGCCTGGGACGTGGTCGCTGGGCGCTGACGGCTTGCCAGAGGCGGCAGAGGGTGTCCCGTTACTTTTCAAACGCCGGCTAGCAAGGGATGATCGTTCTGGACCAGTGACACACCCCAAGCCCCCACCCCCATCCCTACCCCCCCCCCAGTGCAATTTTTGGAATCGATGAATATACGTGTTTTCTAAAAATACTATTTGCTCCCGCGAAGTTCGAATTTCTCTGATGATGCTTCGTGGTGTTTCTTTACTAAATCTGACAACCTGTGGAAATGGGTAGTTTCTAGTTCTGGGGACACACGTGTGTGTGTGTGTGTGTGTGTGTGTGTGTGTGTGTGTGTGTGTGTGTGTCTTCTGAACGGTATGCCACGTTAAAGTAGAAGAGGATGGTGTACAAAAGCGCTCTAGTGAAGATGCATGGAGTCGTCACTGGAAGAATGGCTAACTATGTCTAAGTAACTTTCAGCACATCAGTAAGCATCCTAAGACCTATGATCCAATAATAGAAATAAGCATGAAAGGATTTAAGATATGCAGCAAAGAAAAAAGACACTGAATTTCGTTTTATGACACTGTCTCTGATGTCTGTGTTTTCTGAGTCCCATGAATCTTTTCTATAAAGAAAATTGAAGAGAAGGGACCAATGTGACAGTAATAGTTAGAGATGATCACTCGATCGCTCGGGACAAGAACTCAAGAACTGGGTGTTGAAAGGTAAAGGAATCTACATTGTAACATTTCAGTATCCCTGCAGGGGGGGAGGGGGAAGGGGGTGGAGCCTGGGAACATTGGTGGTGGGAAATGTAAACTGGTGAAGGGATCGGTGTTGAAACATTATAAACTGAAACCCGATCATGAACAACCTTGGAACCGTATCTCACTGTAATTCAATTAAAAAGAAATTTTACCAAAAAATTAAAAAGAAAAAAAGAAAATTGCTCCCTTTCAAATATATTTGGGTTACTCAGAATTACAGTTTGAAATATTACACAAATAAAAGACTTTAATATATTGACTAAAAGGTCTGTTTTTCTTTGACCAAGTCATAATTATTTTCTGATTGACTATGAAAATATCCAATTAGATTTCTCCAATATTCACCAAACATTTGGAAGCACAGTCTAAAAATATACACGTCTTTAATGGGAAACCCAATTGAACTTCATTTCTCTTTTTCTTTCTGTTTTCCTGTCTATCCTTCCTTCCCACACTTAGCGGTGCTGCCATTCCTGGCGTTGCTAGGAGCCTGCTGATGCAGAGAATAAACCCAGGACCTACTACATGTTAGACATATGCTGGTCAACCATGGGAGCCATGTCCCTCCTGGATCTCGCATTGGTGATTTTGCAGGCACATTTTCAAAAATCAGGAAAATAGGTGATTGGCCTGCAAAGGAGTTGGGATAAAATGAGTTTAGTGGTCTACACAAAGCGATGATCATTTGGGTAAGGCCCCCTATGTTTTCACAAAGGTGGTCAGGTCTAGATTTGCCCCTCGCCCACAAAGAAAAATAAAAGCACTGATAAGATTTCTTCAAACACTGAGATTTATTACCTTCTTGTTTTGTTTCGTTTTGTTTTTGTTATTTTGTTTTTAAATCAAAATAAAGTGAGGATGAAAGGGAACCAGCGTCCCAGACTATCGTTCCCTTTGTATTTTCAGTACTTCTCTATTGTGTATAATCTTGCCATCAGCGCTCTCACTTCTCCAGTTTGAGTAGGGGTAAGAGAAGAAGAAGAGAGTGAGAAACAGGGAGAGGGAGAAACGTGTCTTTTTTTATATTACTTTTTTTTATTTTACAAAGTAGTTATTTGTTTACATTTAACATTCGAGCACCAATCCCACCAACATTACACCTTCCCACCACCATATTTCAGATGTTTCCATCCGGAACCCCAATCCCTGCCTCAAAGCAGAACCAAAATAATATACTTTGTACTGTTTGCTATGAAAAATTGCTGAAAATGCTACCAAAAAGTTCCTTAGAGGAAAGAGTGTGAAGATTGTTGTATTTCACCCAGGGGCCATTAAGCCCTTCTATAAGAGATCACTAACATGTTGTTAAAAGGTGAGCCCGTATATAAATATATATCTGTAAAAATATCATTATTTCCCTCTAAGACTGGTTGTCTCCTACTTTGAACACCATCAAATGTGGCACAATACTCTTGGAGTATGAGGAGGGTGGGTGGTATGAAGTGTTGCATTCGGGGCCATGCGGTCCAGGAGTAGGTTCACTCTTAGGTGAGGCTTGGTCCCAGAATGTGGAGAGTGCCCATGAGCATGGCAGCAATTGTGTTCTGGAGGTTTCTGGCTGCTAGGGCTGGGTCCTTTGGAGTGAGGAGGAGTCTCATCTGCCACCTCCAGGGTGCCTCAATGAAACAGTCTGGTGCAGGGGTTCAGCGGCATGGCTATGGTGAGTGTCACAGAGGGAGAAAACACTTCTTTGCTGTTTATCTCACTCCTTTCTTCTTGGTTGTTGATGGATTGTTGAAATCCCTCAACATTCTGGCTTCCAGTCCCACCATTTCACCAGGTGGAGTCTTTCTTGCTAGGGGCATTGATGACTTACCTCCGCTTAAATCCAATGGATGTGTTTCTCTTTGCATATTCCCTGTCCTATCAGATGCATGTGCAGTTGGTGGACATTGTCTTATTGAAGCACCTCCACCCCCTATATTGGTACTACCATGGATATTAATTACTATTCTGGCTCATTTAGCAAAGTGCCCACTTGAAACAATACTATATCAGAAGACCAAAAAAAAGATGATGTTGTTCATTAGTTCTACAAAATTACAAAAAAATTGGAGAAATATTCTATGTAAGTGTCATAATATAGAAGATTGTCTTCCACTGTCCTAAGACAGAAGATCCTAAATTTTGTTTGAATGGGAATCACACCAGTTGGCTCTTAGGGATTACGCTCACTTCTGTGCTAAGGTATCACTCCTGGCAGGCTCAGGGAACGAAATATGGTGCTGACGAATGAACTTTGTAGGCATATACAAAGCAAGCATCTTAAGCTCTGTATTATCTCACCAGCCAGAGGACCCTATTTATCTCGCCCGCACGGCAAAGCCTTGAGGAGCTACCTGTGACGTATTTGATATGCCAAACACAGTAACAAAAAAGTCTCACGATGGAGACGTTACTGGGCCCTCTCGAACAAATCGATGAACAACGGGAGGACAGTGACAGTGATTTATTTATTTATTTATTTAGTGGGAAGCACACCCAGTGGTGTGCAGGACTGACTTCTATCTCTGCATTCAGAGATCACCTTTGTCGAGCTCAGAGTGCATGCTAGTAACCAAATTTTAGTTGGCTATGTGCAAGGCAAGCACCTTACCCACAGTACTATCACTCCTACCCCAGAAGTCCCTAAATATTATAGAAATAGTACGTCAGTGCTATGTATTGCTCTGGTTTCTGAATATTTTTAAGTTGAAGTAAAATCTTCCAGAAGTAACCAAAGTCTAAAACTGATAATATAGAATCTCTCTATAGGAATCCTTTTCTAAGGACTAAGTGACTTTGGGGGAGCTCTAAGTGTAGCACCATAGACTATTTCCATACCATTAACTAGCTGTGACTCTTAATAATAATGCTTCATTTAAGTGCAAACTAGACGGCATGTTTTTGTCTCCCTCTGCCTGCCGAAGGGCTCCCAGATAGATGACAAGCATGCACTACTAATTTATTACAGTTTGAGGAAATGTTTTTACATTCTGTTTACTGGCTGACTGGCTTTATGATTTCAATTGGCATCTAGGGTCCTTGGGGTATGGTATGGTATGGATGCATTTTTCTTGCCACTTTGATGTTGAAAAGGAGAGATAATTATTAACTATGTTTTCCTCCATTGAAAACAGAGAAGAACTTTTAAAAAACAGAAGGATAAAAGGCATGATGATAAATACATGTGTATCTAGAAAAGAGCTGTTGGGGGGAGGGAGTGGCCAAGAGAGAATCTCAGGTATGCGAAAAATGTAAAAATTCTCTTCTAAGTACACATAGAATAATCTATCCCTCTTCACATAACAAACTGTTTCCAGAAGAATCGAAGAACCAAAACCTGCAGTGTGTTTGGCTGGATCTCATCTCTCTAAGGGAAATGGAATCATTGGCATCAGGAGGTTATGACCTTTGGAGTTAGAATTCATTATCTTTTGTTCCCTAAGAATTCTGATGTGGTAAGGAAATCCAGGAGAAGGAATAGGCACCAGGTTATTTTAGAGGAAGAATGCATCCAAATGCTATTCCAGAATCTCTGAATTAAGTGTCTGCAAGCTAGAATTAAGCTTTCTAATCTCTCTTACAGAATATTTATTTTTCATTATTCATACTCTTAGGGTGTAGTTAGTTGTCCAAATAAAAAAATCAGGAAAAACAAGCAGTAACAATAATGAGAAATGATGTTCAAGTTGCACAGTCCTTTTCCTCCTATGTAATAACAAAATAAAATAATCTGGGATGTTTTAGACCATGAGTGAGCCACTGAATCAATATTACTTAGAACCTATTTCATCTCTTGCAGTTCCATTTGTAGAAGACTCATACATGTCTCCTTTTAGGTTCAAATTAGTTTGAATTAGCTTTTGCAATTAAAACTTTTATTTGCAATTAAAGCTGTTGTTTGCAATTAAAACTTCCAAATTAATGAGATATACATTTAAGTTATTAATAGAGATTTCATAACTACTTGTAAGTTCACAAATATCTAATTTTGAAGGAAGAACTCACAGTGGAGTTTGGGGGACCATGTG